GGAAGTGAACCGGCCTTCCCTGCTCGGTGCTTATCTGAGGTGTCACCCCATCGGCTGCTTGCTTTGCTGTCATTTTTTATTTCCCATTTAAAAGAGGAACGCAAAAGCAGATTAAGCAAGATTAAATTAGCTAAATATTTGTTCAATAAAAGGCAGAAACGAAAACTGATCATTCTAGCAAAAAAGATATAAATCCTAGCCAATGAAGCTACTTGCAAAGGGCCAAAGTGGCTTGCTCAAGGTCACGTAGCTATTAACTGACTGAGTTAGAATGATCAGGAACACTGTGTCTTGCCTATTATGTCCACGTTGCCTTGTATGGGCTGGGGGAGAGAGGCCATGGGGCCTCCAGGAGGAAACACTGGCAGGACATAAGTATTCTGTCCACATGGAGTTTGTGTGGTTAAAGGAAGATCTGAAGAGCTAACAGGATACTGAGGTCCACCTGCCTCCAAATCACATGCTTTAGCCTCTACGCCGTGCAGCCTCCTTGTGAGGACGTTCCAGGCAAGTCGAGAAGAGCATTGGCTCAAGTTCTAGGGCAGAGCACATCAGGGACATCGGGACAGCACATCAGGGACATCGGGACAGCCAGGGCTGGGTTTCTGGACCTGGACAGGGACAGTCAGGCAGGATACAGATGGGACAGTCCAGCTTACAAGGTTTCTCTCTGTGACCGCACTCTTCTGACTGTCATCCCTGGTCCTTCTCTCTTGGATTTCTCTTTTCAGGTGCCTGAAGGCCTCTTTTCAGGCCACCACAGCTCACAGCTTCACTGTCCTCCTGAGGGAGGCCACAGCCCAGGTGCCCTGCCTGTCCCTCAGCATGCACACGGGCCCCCAGACTGACAGGTTGCTGCTAGTTTTTAAAGAAACTTTCGGGATCTTTTTCCTGACCCTGATGAGAATGTCACTAAGTCTGAGACTTAGTGGCCAAAAAATCATTAATAATGATTAACAAACCATAGGAGTGCCTGGGTGGCTCAGTTGGTCGAGCGTCCAACTTCGCCTCAGGTCATGATCTCACGGTCCGCGAGTTCGAGCCCTGCGTCGGGCTCTGTGCTGACAGCTGGGAGCCTGGAGCCTGCTTTGGATTCTGTGTCTCCCTCGCTCTCTGACCCTCCCCTGCTCATGCTCTGTCTCTGTCTCTCAAAAATACGTAAAAAAATATTACAAAATTAAAAAAAATAATGATCAACAAACCATAAATAACAGAATATCTATTAATAGGCCATGTGACTGGACACCTACAGTTTTGGATAGTTCATGTTCTCCAGAACAATCCATTCTGTCTTTAGATTTTTTTCATGATGAGTTGAAAAAATATATTTTCCTGCAGTTTCCATACATAGGTCTTGTTACCTCTTTGGGAAGCTCACAGACCAGTTTTACTCTTAATGCCAGAGGTCTGTGCTTACCCTTCATCAACCCCAAGTCCTCCATCCTGGTCTTGAGTGCCTTCTCAATCCTGGACACTGTGCTGGGAGGGAGGCAGAAAAACACGTGAGAGGAACAGAGGGGGTCAGTGGTGGTGTTTACGGGTGTTTACAGATGTCTACAGGGAAGAGTAGCCGAACCCACCCCAATCCTGTTTTCTAGCTCAATTACTTTTAGAAAATCAGCCCAAGACAACCCCAGTCATGTTGACCACCATGTCAGAATGCCAGTCCTTACCTTCTCCTCCCAGAAAGCACAGCCCAGTGACCCTCACCGGTGGGCTCTGTCTCACCTGTCCTGAAGCCAGACCCACCTAAGACGGGAGCACACGAAAGCCTTGTCCTCCAAAGACTGAGTGGGATGAATCTCCTGGAAAAATAATGTATCCATCATCATGGTGGTGGGTTCCCATAGACTTGGTGCCTCGTTAGCTCTTCAGATCTTCCTTTGATCACACAAACTCCGTGTGGGCAGAGTACTAATGTCCTGCCAGTTTTTCGTCCTGGAGACCCCATGGCCTGTCTCCCCCAGCCATGTCCATACAAGGCAACGTGGACATAATGGGAAGGGCACGGGGTTCCTGATGGTTCTAAAGATTCCGTGATGTTCGCTGGAATGCAATCATTCATTCGGTCAGAGTCAACAATCACTTATTGTGTGTCAAGCTCTGGGCTGCCGAGGAGGAACAAGGCAGAGACTGCTAGTAATGGGCATGAGGAGGAACAAGGCAGGCGATTTCCTGCTCTCGCAGAGACCGCTGGTAATGGGCATGCTCGTTACTCGTAGAGGGGCTTTCGCCTTGATGCTAAACCAGCAGAACGGGAGGCTCGCCCTTTGATGGCATCCCCGGAGAGCATCTTCTGTGTTCTGAGGCGTGTCGTGGATGGGTGTCCTCCAGACGACGATCTACGTCCACACAGCTTTGGGCCTCCCCACCCCCTGCGCCCCAGCCCATCGTTCCCATCTGGATGAGCCTCTTGCTGCTAACCTTTCCTCAATCTCTGAAACTCCCACCTTCGCTGCCACCCGGTCCTGTGGCTCGGGTTTCATCGTTGCCCAGGTCTGCTTCTCCTCTAAGACCCTAAACGCCGCATTCCAAGTCTCCAGTGCCTTCCCATCCCGGGAACTTCCCAACACTGGCCTTCCCTGGCCTTCCTCAGAGACATCCCTTTTGCCACGGCTCCTTTCTGTTCTCACTTTTTCTCAGCCCATTTCCCGGCCTCCTCTGCATCTTGCAAGACATTTGGGTCGCTCTGTCGGCCCGAACCCCGGCATGGTCACCTCCCAGCGTGCCTTCCCGATTAGCCTCCAAGTCCGGATCTGTTAGGCCCACACCCTCACCCCCACCCTCTGACTGCAGAGAGGGCCTCGCGGCCGGGCACAGGCTGCCTCTCACAGATGCGGGTGTCCAGCCACATGCTGAAAACAGTGCTCGCCCTCATGTGGGTCTCCTTCCTCTTTGTGATGGTTTCAGCTCTGACCACTTCTCAGAGGCCCCTGTCCAGTCCAGCCTCCCTGGTTCCCCAGAAGTGACGTATCCCCCATGATACACCCAAGGCACCGTGACTGTGACTGACGTGCCGTCCTTCACTCTCCACCGACAGGTGCTGACACTTATCGATATGTTCACCCTCTGTCACATTTTTCCCTTCCAGAAATCTGAGAATTACCTTACGCCACCAACATTCAAAGAGCAAAGCCTTATAGACCCTATAATTAGTTACCTCTCGTAGCCCTCCCCTTGCTCAACAGCCCTCGCCGGCTCCCCCTGGACCGGAGCCTCCCTGGGGCCACACTTCCTGTGGCGCCTGACGGGGCAGTCAAAACACGAGTGCCACATGCATCACATCACAGGGCGGCTCTTTGCATCCTTGGGGCGATAGCCTTCCTTTCCTTTCTTCACGTCCCTGACTCTGCTAGTAAAATATGTTGGCAGGAAAGCTTTCGTCTTTATTTTTCCTCCCTTCTCTTTCACCCGATGTCCCACATGATGGGGGAGAAATATCTCTGAGCCCGGAAGCCTGAGCTCCTTGCTGGTTGGTGGGCTCATGGGCCACAGCAGGTCTTTTCTTCTCCAAGCGTAAACTCTGTAGGGCAGGTCTGCCTCCCAAAGGTGAAGGTAGGTGCACAGGGTCTGGGATCCCGGTCGCAACCTGACGGAGGGTCGTCAACAGGAAAGCTGATGCTTTGAGGCTTTTCTGCATTCTGGGTCTGCTACTGCATCATTTCAAGATTTGGAGAGTGAGGGTGTGAGTAATTAGCATTTACGGACCCATTTGTGATAGAGCCTCCTTCCACCACGCGTACCTTTCAACACCAGTATCCCTGGCGCCCGACCGCCACGCGGGCTGAGACCCGGCCCTTCCAGACCAGCCTGCGTCGCTCAGGTAGATGATTCTGTTCCGTCCGCACGTGCAGAGCAAAGCCTTTCCTGCTCCGGTCCTCCGGCCCCCTTGCCCCTCGCCTCCTGCCCAAGAGTCATCACCCCTGCGAAGTCCCTGATCAGCCCCAAGTGCAAGTGACCATGGCCTCCACTGTGGTCCCGAAGTGCCGTATACTTTGCTCCCTCAGCTGTTCGCAGACCCTGTCGCAGCTGCACGACCGTGTCCTGCATCAGTGCCTTTCCTGCGCCCGTCACACTCATCCGGCTCTCTCGCTACTCAGAGCTCTTTACCGGATACAGTGATAACCAAGCGACGAAACACAGGATTAAAGAGCAAAGCCCAAAGGAGCCAAGCTTTGTGCGGAGTGACGTGGACATTTCAGAGAAGCAGCGGCAGGAGTGACGCCGGCCTACGCAGCTGAGCGCTCCGTAGTCCAGCGTTGAACGGCTCTGGACGTGCGGCTGTGCTCGATAGCAAGGCGGGAGGCTGGGGAGACCAGGGATCTTGCTACTCAACTGCTGTCTATCACATCCTGGTCCTAAGAGTGACTTGATTTCATGACCTCTTTTTTGCTTGGCTTCTGAAGATGGGCATAAACCAGGACAGGTAGAGAAGAGCAGATCCGTGTACTAAGCCCTCTGCTCTGTGCCGGAATGTCTGGCTTGAAGGAAAAGGAGCCTCGGCTGCAGAGATTGACGCCTTGACTCTGAATCGTGGCGCCTCCAAGGGCAAGTCTGGATTCACTCTACTCTCCTTCTCTATTCTCCTGGTGCTTCCATCTGGGCCAAAGGAATCAAAGTTGGTCTGTCACCCCCACGAACCCCACACGGAGGTCAAGGGTTGCCTGATCTTAGCAGGTGAAATGGCCCTACTCTTGGTACCCGCCTGCCCTCGCGGGAGCTGATTGCCGTGGTCACGCAGTGAAGAGTCTGAAGCAGAGGTGGTTGGAGCTGAGATTAGAGCAGAACCAAGTCAGGGCAGCTTGGGGGTTTTGCAGTTTCCTTCTGTTTTCGCTATCTTCCTGCCAGTTCCGGCCACCTCCCTTCCTCTGGGGATACGCTGAGCTCAGCAAGCCCGGCTCCACCAGCTCTGCCCCCTGAGCCCATTGGCTTCTGGTCACCTGATAATGCTCCTGCTGCAGACAGGACCTCTGTCCCGCGGTGCACTTGTGCCCAGAACTCTCCGTTGCTGCCCTGGGGCCTCCTCGCAGCCTCGGATTCCGGCCCAGCCTCTCCCGTCGCCTGGCTCATGGCGTTACCCTTCTCCCTAATCCTCGGTGAGTATCTCGGGCCCTGCTGGCTGAGGCTTCAGACCCCCCCAGAACCCCCTGCCCAGCTGCTCCCACTCCCTCTCAAGGAGGGACTTCTGCTCTCCTGCCCCTTCTGTGTCCAACAGTGTTCTAAACCCAAAGCCACTCAGTCCACACCCAATTTAGAATCCACTGTGATCCCCAGAGGTTTTATTTTTATTCCGATTACTTTCTATTCGCCCTGAAAAATTTACAATAGTCTATCATTTCCCCTGTTGCATAAATTTCCCCAAAGGTACTCTTTTTTTTTTTTTGAAAAAGACAAGTGAACCATGCGTAGCAGCAGGTGGGGGAAGAAAAGGAAGTAGAACCACAGGCAAACACCTTCCACAGGCCACGCTGTCCAGTTTCCTCCAAAAAGTGTTTCATGCGGGGTTTCCCAGTTTCTTATCATCCAGATTCATTCACAGTAAATGGGATTTTGGAGTCAAAGGGACCCGGGTTTCAATTCTCGTCCTTTGATTTCTTGGCTGTCTGAATTGTTCAGTTACCCTCTCTCTCTGGAATCTTGTTTTCATCTATGGAATGAGGAGAATATTATGTTCTCTAGAGGCCTGTGGGAGACTTTTCACGAATTAAGAAGCTTGGGGCATCCAACAATGACTACGAGGTCCCTTCCCTAACTAATCACACCCATTTTTAAGTTTTATTTATTCATTTGGAGAGAGAGAGGGAGAGATGGAGAGAGAGAGGGAGAGAGAGAGGGGATCCCAAGCAGCCTCTACTCAGATGCAGGGCTCAGACTCACGAGCCGCGAGATCATGACCTAAGCTGAAATCATGAGTTGGACGCCCAGCTGCCTGAGCCACCAGGCATCCCAATCTTACCCACTTTGTATTGTCTTGATGTTCTGGTGCATCACTGGAGCTTGCACTGGGCTCTCAACCAGGCATCGACGTGCTCTGTGCAGGATGCTGGCCACTCTCCTAAACTCCAGTGTGTCTCCTGTATCACCCAAGAGCGGGCCGGCCCATCACACGCATCCTACCCTGTCTTCCCGACTTTCCTTCGGCCCCACCTCCTTGGTGAAGCCTCTCCGGTCCGGTCCCCCGCAGTCGTCTACTCTGCCCCAGAGTTTTCAAGTCACTCTTGGGCTCTGTCACTTTCACACCTGCATGTCAGGGTCGACACGCTCAGTTTCCTCTCCGTGTGCACATGCTTCGTGCTCTTTACTGGAGATGTGGGGGGTTACGTGTGATATGATCTGGAGTTTTAGACAGCTGCGGACAAGCGGCCACATCCTGAAGGCCAAGGGCTTAGGGTTGTTAAGAAACTACTTGCCAAATAGTCCAGAACAAGCCACTGAAATTCTTGGGTCTGCCTGAAAGGCTCTAAACCAAAGATATTAGCTCCGTCACAAACATTCCACAAGATGTGGGGAGGGAAAAACTGTTCTGCACTGCAGAATGCCTAGGGCCTCGGGGACCATTCGGGGACCACAGGTGGACACAGGGTTCAGGACTCTTGGCAGCATTAGAAGGGAGCCCAATGCGTGGAGGATCCCGGCCACCCAGAGGTCCTGCGGGAAGAAACTATGATGTCCTAAGACGTGCCGGTGCTTAAGGCTGGGGATTGGGAAGCAAATACAGAGCTGCTTTCCGACCTGTTGAGCCCCCGGGGGCCAGCAAACAGCCTCCAAGCTAAGGGTGGTGTTTACATTTTTCAACGGTGGGAAAAAAAGTCCAAAGAAGAATGATATTCTGTGCACCGAAGTCTGAATCTCAGAGTCTATGAACAAAGGTTGGTTGCGACATGGCCATGCTCTTTGTGCTCGTTCGGACACATGGCAACTCTCACGCTACAGTGACAAAGTTGAGTAGTGGTGACAGAGACCGTGTGGCTACAAAGCCCAGGTTATTTGCGATCTGGCCCTTTACAGAAACAGTACGCTGGCTGTGGTCCCAATGCAGCGCCAGTGAACGTAGACGATCCCTCCCATTTCCCCCGCTCTGAGCTGCCGTGGTGGTGTCGCTGCCTTCTGCACCAGAGCCCGTTCCGGGGACCTCTGACACCTCTTCCTGTGGAGCCCAGAGGCTGCACAACACCCCTGGGGCAGAGCCAACGTTGCGTGTTCGGGGAACATGATGGGCTGTGGCAGACCGGTCTTTGTGGTTCCCAACCACTGTCCGTGTGTCCTTGCAGGGGAAGGTCCCCACAGGACCGAGTCTGGAGGCTCTGTACCCACACTTTAACTGCCCCACAAAGTCTAGCAAAAAATTTCTAGACAGTCGTGTTGTTCGAACAAAGCCTTGGAAATGGACTGTATGATCTCACTCAACTTCCTTCTTCTCTCCCCAGCCATTTGCACTGGACCTGGCATTTTAGGTAAGACTTTTTGAGGTCCTTGAGAGGCGGGGGGGTGGGGGGCTCCAAGCTCCAGAGATGGAAAATTTGAAGCTTCCTGGGGCATGGAGAGAGGCTCTATTCGATACAGCCTTGGTAGATTTCCTTCCCGGTTTCTCAGTCCGCCCACTCAGTCTTATGTGGATGGCTTCCCACCTCCAGAACCTGGGAGGGATTCGGGTGGCATTTCCTGTAAGGGGATTCCCTCCCACTTGGCCTCTGTGGCCCAAGACTCTTGGGCACCTCCAAGCAGCAGATGGCCTTGTTTGGGGCTCGGAAGGCACCTCACCTCCTCGCGGGCATATCTGGGTGAGGAGCTTCCTCTTGCCCTGCTGGGCTCTACCACTGGCGGGACCCCGTGTCAGCCTGCATGGCTCCTTTGAACTAGAAATGCGTCAACTTGTATGCGGCCTGTGGCTCGACCGGCAGCAGGCGGGCTGGATTTCAGCCTCCACCGGCCCCTCGAGTGAGGGTCCTTGGGCAACATACGAGGGGAATGGGTCTCTCAAGAGGAAGACTGATGCTCCAGACTCTAGGGGGTTGGTCGTGGACTGTCAGCTCCTTAGATATTACCCCATCCGTCTTCTTTGTCTTGACGGTAGAGGCTTCGCGAGAGAGGGGCAGCCACTAGCCTCTAGCCTCTTTACTAGAGAGGGGCCCCGCATCTGCAGGGTGCAGTTCGATTCCTTCTGGAGTGCTGCCTGGGGTTCTCAGCCTGACGCTCAGATTACACGGGCCTTTGCCTGTGGCTTCCAGGGCTGTTCTTGCTGCTGGCACAGGGACCACTGCTCTCCAGCTTTCCATGGCCCGGGACGCTCCCCCTCCACCCCAGGGTTCTGCTCTGGAGCCATCAGCCAACACAGTAGGTCGAGGACACTGCCGGGGACGCAGCTGCCTCGATGGTCCCCCAGCCCTTCTCCCTGGCTTTCAGATCTCTTCGCAGTTGGGTTTCTTGGACACTAACGCTGTTTCTTTCTTACATATTTCTTCTTTCCTAGGAGGTGTTCTACGCCTCCTTTCTGTGGAAAGGAAAACTCACTTAGAGCCAGAATTTTACAATTCAGAATCAGATAATGTGTGCAGCCAGCATCCCGGAGGACACAATAATGCCTGTCTAAACGCTAATCTTGCAATGAAATGCTGTTTCTGGGTGACTCCTCTAGGGTTATCTTTATTTGTAGGCTGCAAACTTAGGTGTGCAAAAATGAAAACCTTGCTTAGTTGTTTTGTAGTTACATTTAAATCTCTGCCTCTAGCCTCCATGCCTCACATTGCTTCCCTCAAAAGACACATGGAGGAAAAGGAGAGACACAAAAGCAAACGAGCAAACCAAAGGTCAACTTCCAAAGCACTTTGAAGTCAGCCAGCTCAGAGCTTTCCCATTCAGCCATGTCTTCTGGGGTTGAATGCAGGTTCTAGAGGATTTGTGTGCCGCAGAGGCAGTGGGAGATCTGCTCCTTCGAGGTCATATTCCATTCCTGCAGGTGCCTGAGTCACCCACGTGTCCCACGTGGTCATAGGCGACAATGCTCGCATCCTGGTTGGTCACAGACCAGCAGGCACGTGCGGTCCCGCCAGGTGCCCCAGACCTCTCTAGGTCAACCGCCCCATCCCGTGGAAGCAAGGCTGACTCAGCTTTTCTGTGCCACGTTGTCACTCGGAGGCTGCAGGAGACCCGCTGGGGTTGCCTCAGATGTCTTAAATATAATGTCCTTGAGGACAGCAGTGTGGACAGTCTTGTTGGTCACTGTTCTTTGAGTTCATGAACATAGTATGTGCTCAATAAAAGTGTGTTGCCTGATGAGCTCGTCTCTGTCCTCCCCACAGCCATCACTCTATGTCTATGTCTTACTGGAAGAGGGAGAGGATTTCAGTTATTCTTTTCCACCCTCAGAGTTGTAGCCGGGAAGCAGAAACAGGTTCTGGATTCCTCAGAAATTATCTGGAGGCTCTGGGGAGGCTGCCTCCTGCCCCGGCTGCTGGAACCCTCTGGACTAATGACCGAGGCTCAGATGCGCAAAGGCTTGGCCCTTTGCCTACTTCTCTCTGCATTCTTCTGAGCTGTGTTCTCGGACATGGGAAGATGTCATAGGGAGCAGCAAGGTAGGGGAGATCGTTGATATTGGGAGAGAGAGAGAGTCAGGTTGTTCAGCCCAAATTATATCTAAACATCCTGCCTCATCTGGTGGCCATGGGGAAGGACAGGGTCAAGAAGAAAGAATGCAACAGGGAACACCTCTACGTTTGTGTTCTGACCTGGGGCTTCCACCGTCTGGCCACGTGAGCATGTGTTTGTAGGTGTCTTGCCGTGGAGTTTCTTGGCAGGGTAAATTAAAAGGGAGCAGAATCAGAGCTTAGGGATGAGGTCCTGAAGCTCCTCTCCCCCGCCCCTTCCCCTTTGAGCCCTCCTTTCCCATCCCCCAGCTTTCCAAACACCCTATGTCAGTGATGGAAGTTTCCTGAGATGCCTGCATCCTCTCCGGGCTCCTCCGGATGCCCAGCCAGGCTCCCGTTCCTTTGCAGGGTCTTTGTCCAGAGTGCGGCTAGTGGGAGGTGACCACCGCTGTGAAGGTCGTGTGGAGGTGCAGCAGGATGACGAGTGGGTCACCGTGTGTGATGACTACTGGAACATGGACTCTGTGGCCGTGCTGTGCCGGGAGCTGGGCTGTGGAGCAGCCAGGAAGACCATGAGTGGCACTGTGTATGGACCAGTGACACCAAAGGACCAAAAAGTCTTCAACCACCTGTTCAGATGCAGTGGGATCGAAGAAAGCCTGTCTCAGTGTGAGAAGGAAGATGCAATCGGATGCTCCCATGTTGAGGATGCGGGAGCCGTGTGCGAGCGTGAGTCCCACAGCCCCTCAGGCCAGTTCACCTGTCTGAGCCCACTGTGGACGCGACACGTGGCTAACTGGCTCCTCACCTTTCGTGTCTCACCTCTTCCTGATCGTGGGCCCTGCAGGTGAACAGTACCCTCACTTAGTATTGCCCGTGCTCTTTGGTTGAGGTACCGCATTCACCTTAGTTTCAGCCCACGTGAAGGGCTGCTTCTCCCCTTTGTGCACGTGCGCGCGCGCGCACACACACACACACACACACACGAGCACGCACAGATCCATCCACCACTAAATGTTGGATCAAGAGTACAACCTGTGTCTGGAGCTTGGCGGGAGGTATGGGGAAGAAACGAGCCGGTGAAGTACGATGTATGGTTTCCGGGTTTTGGTGCTAAAAAAAAAAAAAGTACAGGGGCGCCTGGGTGGCTCAATTGATTAAGTGTCTGACTTCAGCTCAGGTCATGATCTCGCGGTTTGTGGGTTCTAGCCCCGCATCGGGCTCTGTGCTGATGGCTCAGAGCCTGGAGCCTGCTTCGGATTCTGTGTCTTGCGCTCGCTCTCTGCCCCTCCCCCATCCATGCTCTGTCTCTCTCTGTCTCAGAAATAAATAAACATAAGAAAAAAAGCAAAGTATGATGCATGCTCTTCCAGCTCTCAAGGAGTCCACCATCTGGAGCGTGGACGAGAGCCGTTCCTAGGAAACCCACACAAGCCTGGTGTATGTATGTATAGTTGCCGTACTTCTTCGCCCTCTCCACACACTTGCTTCCTGTGCGCTAACAGTCCCCTCTCTATGTGCACTTCCCCCCCATTAGACTGTGGTTTGGTGGCGGTTAGGGTTAGGTTGCTCTGTGTCCTCTCTTTGTCACCCTGCAGACTGTAACCAGGGACACAACCACTCAGGCTGCCTGACGCTGGAATCTCGTTCCTATTTCTTGGAGAGGTGGAGGGTCAGGAGCGCTAACCCACAATACTTGGGTGATAAACGCTGAAAACAAACCCAAAAGCTTTTGGTCTTGGACACAATGTGTAGGTGACTTGCATTTATTTTGTAAAAATCTACGCAATGCCTCCGCTCGCCTCTTGGGAGGAACAAATGAGAATACGAACGTGAAAATAACTTGAAAAACTAAAAACGTTACAGAAATAATTAACTCACTTGGAATTGAAAAATGACACTCACTCCATTGACTCACTTGTCCATCCTTTCCACAAGCACCCACGAGGCAACGCTGAGCACTCTAGATGCGTCGTACTAAGCGCCAAGAGCAGAGGGATGTGTCCGTGGGGCTCTATTCTGGGAGGATCATGTTGTTGGGTAAGCAGACACCTGCTCTTTGCTTCCCCACAGTGCCGGAGAGTGTGAGGCTGGCCGATGGCCCCGGGCGCTGCCAGGGCCGAGTGGAGGTGAAGTTCCGAAGGGAGTGGAGCTCTGTGTGCCAAGCAGGCTGGAGCTTTGCAGCCGCCAAGGTGGTGTGCCGGCAGCTGGGGTGTGGACGGGCCACCCTGACCCGGAAAGGCTGCAACAAAGCGACCCGGGGCCAAGGGGCCATCTGGCAGAGAAAGGCGTCATGCTCAGGACAAGAAGTGAGCCTTCAAGATTGCCTTTCTGAAGTTTGGGAACACAACTGTACCCACAATGAGGACGTGTGGGTCGAATGTGAAGGTAATGCCTATGAGTCCAGAGGCAGGTTCAGTCATGAATTTAGGTCAATCGGATTCGCTTTCACCAAGGCTCACGGAGAACCCGTCATCCATCAGATGACGGTGACAAAGTTACTTAGCTGTGCTGCCCATCAATTCTCTTGTTTTTAAAATGGAGACAACTGGAGAGTCTGGGTGGCTCAGTCGGTTAAGCGTCCAGCTTCGGCTCAGGTTACGATCTCACGGTTCTTGAACTGGAGCCCCGTGTTCAGGTCTGTGCTGACGGCTTGGGGCCTGGAACGGTCAAATTCTGCGTCTCCCGCTCTCTCTGCTCCTCCCCTGTTCGTGCTCTGTCTCTGTCTCTGTCTCTCTCTCAAAAATAAATAAAACATTAAAAAAGTTAAAATGGAGACAATAATATGTGCCCTCGTATACGGAGGTGCTTTAAGCCATCTTAAACACTATATTCATATGAACTATTGTTATATTGAATTCTATTTACTAGGAACAGGCACACCATTCCAGGTATTGTTGAGCTCTTCAATTTTTTAAAAACTAGTGGAAAGTCATTTAGTAACGTTAGATTTTTTCACGTTTTTAAAAAATGCGGATTTTTGAGAGAGAGACAGAGCGAAAGCGGGGGACGGAAGATCGGAAGCAGGCTCTGCCCTGACCGCAGTGAGCCCGACGCGGGGCTCAAACCCACGAACCTTGAGACCGTGATTTGAGGCAAAGTCGGAGGCTTAACCGACTGAGCCACCCAGGTGCCCCTACTAACGTCACATTTTAATAAACTAGATGGGGAGGTGAGAAATCCTGGTGGAGGAAAGGGACCGGGGCTGCAAGGTCAGGTCCAGAGAAAGGGATGTACCTTGGAAGCCGGGTGGAGAGTCTCAGGTGCTGATGGGATCTGAGTGCCGGCTCAGAGGAGCTTACCCATCATCCTCCCTGCCTCCCGCCCACCCCCCCCCCCCATTCCTCCTGCACCTGCAGATCCCTTTGGCTTGAAGCTGGTAGGGGGACGCAGCCACTGTGAGGGGAGGCTGGAGGTGCTGCACAAGGGCGAGTGGGGCTCTGTCTGCGACGACGGCTGGGGACAAGAAGCAGACCGGGTGGTGTGCAGGCAGCTGGGCTGCGGGCAGCCCCTGTCTCCACCTGTCAAAGTCCGGAGAAGGTTCGGCCCCGGGGTCGGCCGCATCTGGCTGGACGACGTCAACTGCTCGGGGAAGGAGCCGTCCCTGGAGCAGTGCCCACACAGGTCCTGGGGCTACCACAACTGTAACCACAGAGAGGACGTGGCTGTGGTCTGTGAAGGTCAGTCCTGGGGGGATGGGCCAGCGTGGCGGGAGGGGAGGACGGGGGGGCTCCCTCTGGGGGTGAGACCCCGGCTGCCACGCCGCTCCCCCACTTTACGCTTTCTTCCGGGGACACGAGTGAGGCCTTCCAGCCGTAAATAGAAACAATAACGATACTGATTATTGACAAATCCCAAACCGTCTCCCTATTGATGTGAGAGCAAGAGAGGTTTTAAAAACGGTTGGATCAACACCCTTAGATCAGACACGAAGAGAGTGAGGCTCAGAGAGGATAAGCAGCTTTCCAGAGTCATAAAAATTGCTTGGAAATGATAGAGCAGAACGAAAGTGCCGGGTCCTGACTCTGAGCTCAGGGGTCACTGTCCCAGACGACCCCAGCCCTCGCACCCTGACTTTAAACTATGGGAGCCTGTCCCTCCTCCTTGTAGCCGTGTGACGCCCTTATTTGAGGTGAACCCTTGGGAACCGGGCTGGGGTAGGGGGCTCTCTGGCAACGCCCGGGAGACAGAGTCTTCTCAGACAGCTGGCAGACCAGCCCCGAGCTGCGGGCGTCTTTGGGGGAGGGAAGGAGGAAGCCGGAAAAATGCAGGCACCGCCCCTGGGGTCCAAAGCTCCGCTTTGTGAGCAGGGTAGATATGCAGGCCTGCTCCGGTGAAACAGCGCCGTGGGGCCGGGTAAGGGCCGACGGGGCCGAGCAAGGCGGTGACCTCTCTTTCCTCTCCGGGGACCCAGTCTTCTCGCTGAGCCTCTCAGAGCTTGCATGAAGCCTTCCTTCTGGACGTGCCCCCTTCTCACTGTACATGCTTTTCTTTCTGCAGAACAGCAGTCTGGCCTACTTGATGCTTGACCCACAGGCCCCAAGCGCCCTTCCTTCTCCTGGGCCCTGATCGGCCTGGCCTGAGCCCCCCAGCCGCAGGCTGTACCCGCAGCCCCGCTCTGCCCCCAGGAAGAGTCTGAACTCTGCCTACGCCTTGCTCCAGAGCCGAGCGCTCCCGTGGTCGCCCGGAGTTACCGGGTGTTGCAGGCCCTCCGCCGGGGGAGATGGGCCCTCGTCCCCTTGCCCGCACAGCGGCCCCCCCTGCCCCGGCTGGGGCCTGTCCTGCCTCCCCTCGCCCAGCCCGGCGCTCTTTTGCAGCACAGGCTGTTGCCCGGCCCCATCTCTGTGCCTGCAAAGAACGTGAAGGGCGCAGGACGGTTGCATGGAACTTGGGGGGAAAGCTTAGAACCTTTTAAACTCTTCTTCTCACGCTTCGGACGACCACGACGATTCATTGCACCTCGCCGCCCTCCTGCTCCTCGGTGGCATCACGTCCTTTCAGCAGCTGAGCAGCGTGGCACCTGGGAACCATGTTGCACCCCCTGAACGCCTGGAAGAAAACGGCTCTGGTGACCAGCCAGCGAGGTTGCGGCCTATCGAGCCGCTGCGCGCACACACGCGTCCTAACGGGTCCCAGGGGACGCGCTGGCTGTGCGGCCACGACCAGAAGGAGGGAGAGGCCCGGGGCCGTGCCTCACGCCAGTCAGATGGTGCCTCTCATTTTAGCCTCTCACACGCTGGCACCTGCAAGTCTGAGGCGACGCGCGAGGCTGGTAAAGAGAGAATCAACACTTGATTCTAAAACTCGAGCCTTAGACTCTGAGCACCTGTAATGTGCCTGCATTTACGCCGCCTAATAAAGTCGATCTCACGGTCTAAACGTCTCGACCGTTGGCTCCTGTGCGAGGTGCTTTTTTTTCTGCCCCGGGGAAGCAGGTGCGTCAGCGACGGCCTTTGGGGCAGCAGAGACCCCGCCAGCACTTAGGACCCCGTGCCTTCTAGAGCCCTACCCTCCTGCCTCTTCCCTAGGGTGGGGACGGGGGATGACCTGGTTCAGGAGCAGAGAAGAAAAGGCCTTATCACACATTTGGGGACCGACCCTGTGACTCAAAGAGACTTGCCTCCATTTGCTCAGCTCCCTTTATCAGATGAGGTCTTCCCGATTTCCCCCACAGACCAGTACCCTGTTCCCGTCACCCCAGAGGAGCTGGAAACCTAGAGCTGCCTGCACCGAAAAGCCGTTGTATCCAACGTAGAGCAGAAAGGGTTGGAATTTCACAACAGGAACTCTGAATCTCCCTTAATTTCTGCATTAGAATTTCGTCTGTTTCCATGCCGGCCAAGTCCCCTGAGAACCCGTCAGATCAAAGTAACAGCACTTGGAAGAGACGGGGTGGATCCCACCCGGAAGCAAGAGCTGGCAGGAGCCTAAGTGGTGTCACCGAAGGAGAGAATGTGGAGCTGACGCTGGCCTGTTGGAACCGTTGGGGAGGAGGCCACCTCGATGTCCACAGCGGGCACGGATGAAATAGCGAGTCAGGGCCCGAGGAGATTCGCGTGTGACAGTGAGTGCCCGCGCTTAGACTCTGCTGTGTCCTCCGGGACACGCGGCTAGTCTCTCCCGGGTGCCTCTTATCAGAGGACACAGCGGCCAGCGCCCCCAGCCCGGCCCCGGCAAAGCAGTCTGCTCCCCTTGAGCTCTGCCTTCGGGGGGAATAGTGCCTGCACAGGTCAGGGGTTGTGAGCTGGCTCACACCTTCTCCTCCAAGAGACCCTCCTGAGACCCGACCCCTCCTGACCCTTGTCAGGGCCCTTGCTGGGGCACTTCCTGGCCCACACATGCCCCGTGTGCACCCCCTCATCTGGCCTGGGGCAGACGGGGCCCTCCGGGCCCGTGGGGCTGGGGACCGACCGTACCACCTGCACAGTCTCCAGCATAGAGGGGTCCCCGGCCCTGAAAATCACCCTGAGGCAGCAGTTACAAGTCTGTGACAATCAGCACCCCCTTGCAGCCTGACAGGGTCCGGGGCCTCGCCAGCAAACAGGGCTCCCAGATCTGTCTTAGTAGGAGACACTGTGGGCAACCCTCTGGGCACTCAGGCAGGCGGGCCACTCTCCCGCCACTGTGCCTTCAGTGGACTATCGTCCCCTGGGGAGGTGACTTAGGGCTCGCAAGCTGCCATACGCCTCGTTCCCCAAGGGCCACTCTTGTGGCCCTGCCCGTCCCACCCTCGACAGAGGGTCCCGATCACGGCACCCACACCTACACCCAGCCTGCGCAGCCAGCGGGGGCAGAGTCCCCAGTAGCGGGGAGCCACGCCCTGAAATCACCCTCAGGCAGCAGCTGCAAATCGGCTGCGGTCAGTGAGTCCCCGCTGGGACCTGCCACCTCTTGGTCCCGGCTTCTCCAAGCAACCGGGGCTCCCAGCTGTCCCTTCCGTCACGATGCAGCACGTGGCCGGTTCTCAGAACGGACGGGACACCTTCCCACCGGGGCAGTTGACACAGCTCGCTTCCCCCGGGCCGTCTCTCTCTGTCTGCCGGTTGGCGGTTGGAGACCCTGACGACGTGGGGAGGGCAGAGCCAGAGCGTGGAGGGGCCCGGACACCCAAATGGCCCGGTGGCATATGCACCTCATCGGGTCTCTGCTGATAAGAAACAAATATGGCTTGTGTTAAGCCGGGAACACCTTTGGGTGTCTCATTTACGGCCCTCGGCTGATTCCGGCTCCCACGGACATAAACAGTTTTTACAAAATCAACTGCATTGCTTCAGAGCTCACCAACACACTCTCTGACGTGACTTCGGCTTCCTCGGAAGCCTCTAGAACTTGGCGGTAATCGGGAGACGTGCAACCTGGCCCACTGGTAATTCCATAGTTAGTGTAAATTAATAATCTTTTATTTTTGACAGTCTTCTGAGCCTTTTGGTTTGTAAACTATACCCAGCCTGTCCATTGCAGCCATCATTGTGTGTGTGTGTTTTAGGACTTTTTAATTATTCGTAAAATACTTATCATTATTAATATTTTAATATTAATATTATTATTAACAACTATTAATTAATATTCATTATTAATCGGGCCGAGAGAGAGGGAGACACAGCATCCGAAGCAGGCTCCAGGCTCTGAGCTGTCAGCACAGAGCCCGACGTGGGGCTGGAACCCGAGAGCCGTGAGATCATGACCTGAGCTGAAGTCGGATGTTTAACCAACTGAGCCACCCAGGCGCCCCTAGGACTTTATTATTTTTTCAAGAACAGTTTTAGGTTCCCAGCGGGATTGAGAGGAAGATACGGAGGGTTCCCATACACCCGCTGCCCCCACACGTGCACGGCCTCCCCCGTTACAAACATCCCTCTTCAGCGAGCACGTTAGTTACCACCAAACTGCTGTGACACATCGTGACACATCATTATCACCCAATTCCATAGGTTACACTGGGGCTCACTCTTGGCGCTGTTCTAGGGTTCGGGCAAATTTATACACACGTATCCACTGTTACAACGTCACGCAGAGGAAGTTTATCCCCCTACAAACCCTCCGGAGTCCTCTGTGTTTGCCTAGTCACCCCTCAGCCTCTGGAGACCACTGATCCTTTCACTGCCTCCATTGTTCTGCCTTTTCCAGGAAGTCATAGAATTGGAATCACACCCCACGGAGCCTTCTCAGACTGGCTTCTTTTACGAAGTGATACGCACGTAAATGTCCTCCATGTGTTTTCACGGCTTGGTCGCTCATTTCTTCTTAGCGCTGAGCAATATTCCGCAGTCTGGATGCACACAGTTTAACCTACGGAAGGATATCTTGGTTGCTTCCAAGTTTGCAAACCCGTGAACAGAGCTGCTTATATAAACATCCACGCACAGACCTTACTGTGGACACGGTTTCAGCTCCTTTGGGTAAATACTAAGCAGCATTTTCAAACACCACCACCCTGTCCTCCTGGCCACAGTCCATTGGTACCATGAGTGAGCGTCGGTCTGGAGCTGGAAGGATCACCCCTTCCTGGGAGATGGGAGCTGTCACTGAAGGAACATTGGTTTCTTCAGGTGGCTGGGTTTGTAGTAAGTTGTCCCAGGAGCAGTGGGAGGGTCAGAGCATCAGAAGCCCTTCCACAGAGATGCACTAAAATGTAGGAAACAGAGGGGAACACAGAGGAGAGACAGAGAATCCGGACAGTACTTTCCGTTTCTGGTCCTTGTCTTTTCCCGTCTCCATTCCTAGCGCTGCGCTCCGTGACAAAGCGCTGTATGCTTATCGTATACATTTTATGGATGTATATGTCCATCTACAAAAATATACGCTTAAATTTTGAACGACTTACCTCACTGGTTCTTGCACTGCTAACCAAAATAACCCTAACCGGTTTACGTGCTTAAAATTAATGCGCCGATAATTTGCGCATCTCGGGTGAGGTTCGTTAGGTAAGCTCGTGTGTTAGTAATGAGTCAATTCTCACCGCACTTGAAGCATCAAACCTGGGAAGGATCTGAAAAGGCAGAGATGCCACAGCAACGGGTGCAGGTGGCTGTGTGTCCCGGGTGCCAGCATTTCGCCCATGCCTGAGGTCATGACCTCTCTGAGATCGGCAGAGCTGATGTCCCTCCAGCCACGTCCTGTCCAGCCTCCTCTCTCGGCCTCTTTTCAGGCAATGGCCTGAAGCCGTCCTGCTCTCGAGTGACACCAGTGTTCCTGCTGTGTCGGTGGGCGCTCAGTATACACGATGTGCAGTGACAGCTTGGAAGGAGGCTCGGTCTCTCTAACTCCCAGGAGGAGAGAGGGCACCCTTGACCTCAGTGGCCCTTCTACCGGACTCTGTCCCTGTGAGAACCTCCCCGTGAGGTTGCCCCAGAGACACAGGAGGGGAGTCCCGTCGGGGTCAGAAAAGCAGGGAGGAAAACACTGCAGGTGGTCCCTGGTTGTCTGAGGAGGAAAGAGGGACGTCTGAAGATAGGAGCATAGAGACGACGTTCTGGTGAAGTCATAAAGCTTTGCCCGGGGCAGGATCGTTGATGTCCGCTGAAGGTCAGTTAATTTCCGTAAGTAATTTCTAGTGGACGCTTCCACTCCCCAGAGTGTCCTGGTTTGGATGATAAATTTTGTGCTCATTTTGGCACTGAGGGACGGTTAGTACTTGAGAACCGCATTTGACACGGCGGGGGCCATCAAGAGTGGGATGTCATTGCCCAAAGCTCGACACCCTCTTCCCCACAGAGCAAACTCCCAAGGACCCAGCAGGCGGATGGGCGAGTCTCATGCCTCGGCCACTTCCTCTCTGTGACCTCGTCTCCCTTCCCAAGGTCTTTCTCCCGCTGCTTCTTCAGCAGGACCAGCCAGTAACCTGTGGTGGGGAAGGTGGCCCAGACCACGAGGACTCAGTGGGATTGGCCCATAGTTCGATTTGAATTCGCGACAGTGCTCTGAAAGTCGGGAGAATGACCTCTTCTTGTGATTTGCTCCCGACACAGGGCCCCAGACCCAGCATGCTCTTCGGACATGGTACCATTTCTACTCTTCCCTGAACTCAGGCTTTCCTTCTTAGGGTTTCTTTCCTTCTACCCTGAGGTGAGGGCATCACATCTTGTGGGGACTTGACGGGCTGTTCCCTGCAGCTGTTCCCTGCAGGCTGGCCGTGGGCGGGATGAGAAGGCATCTTGTCATTGAGAGTCATGGTCGAGTCAACTCTGGCCGGTGGAAATGTAATGTAGAATGTAGAATGTAGAATTTTCTAGTAGCCATAGTGGAAAAAAGTAAAAAGAAAGAAAGAAAAAAGAAAAAAGAAAGAAAGAAAGAAAGAAAGAAGGAAGAAAGAAAGCGAAAGAGAGAGAGAGGGAGGGAGGAAGGAAAGAAAGAAAAAAGGAAACAGGTTGGGGGGGGCGCGCCTGGGTGGCTCAGTCAGTTAAGCATCTGACTCTTGATTTCAGCTCAGGTCATGACCTCACGGTTCAAAAGTTCAAGCTTGTGTTCAAGCTGACAGCACAGAACCTTCTGTCTCTCTCTCTCTCTCTACCCCTCCCCCACTGTGCACACACACGCTCTCTCTCTATCTCAAAATAAACATTAAAACTTTTTTAAATAAACTTTTAAAAAATTAGTAGATTTTATAGAAAATTCCAAAATCCTGGCTTCTGTGAACAATCAGATGATGGAACAGCATGTCCTTTTACCCTCAGGGCAATGACCTTCTCCCCGGTGGGGAGCACTGTCGTGAATTCAAATCCCCGAGGTGGGCGGTCCCTCCTCCAGCCGTGGCGCCCCCGCTGGCCCAGCTCCCCGTCTGAAGGATCCCCACGCTCTTCGTGCAGGGTGTGCTCCGTTCCAATCTCCCCTCTCTGTCTCTTCAGCCTCCCACTGTGCCAGCACTCCCTCAAATTGTGTTCCAGAACCTCGGCAAAACGCCTCTCCGTTCCGCGACTTGGTGCGTGCGTGCACTCTTAGCCCTGTGTGCGTCCCTCCTCACCCAGGCTTCTGGAGACTCCCAGCCACCTCGGAGGCCGGCTCAGACCTCAGGGTACCTCTGGAGCGCCCCGTCTCCCGACACCGGCTCCCTCGGGCTCTCTGCTCTTATCTCTCCCCCAGGACTCCCACAGTCACGATTGTTGCAATGCCCTGTGTTCCGTTTGCCCGCGAATCTTTCTCGCCTGCCACACTGTGGGTTCTCGGTGCTTAAGGAACGTGCGGTTCTCACGTCCATATATACGTGCTCAGAACGCAGCCTAGTGTGTGGCACGTATCGCCGTTTTCAGGGGACGGGTAATGCTCCTTCATCCACCCAAGCGCAGGACAGACGGAGGGTAACGGGAGTCCCAGAGAGGGGAGCAAACTCGAGCTTTCCACCAGTAAAAATTGCTTCGGAGGAACTGGCTGTGCTGTGTGGTCTCAGTGGTTCTCATAAGTGACCACGACACTCAGCAGATTTCCCATCGGGGCCACAGGCAGTGTGGACGGCCCTGGGCCTCTGCAGCAGGGACAGAGCCCGGCGGGTGGAGGGGGGGTGACCAAGGAGACCACACAGAGGCCTGCTTCTCAAGGACAGAGCCCACATGGCACCCATCCACACAGGCTCAGCTGCTGCTCCTGAGTTTATCGGCCAGATAAGTCACATCCCCTTGATAATTTTCTCCCTGAGGTACAGTGAAGAAGTTCTCTCCTGTTTACGGAAACACGGGGACCCTTGGAGGCGTACCCCTAGCAGTCTGTAAATAGGTGAGTGACACCACTTCCAAGATGAAATGATAAATGAAGGTGACAACGCATGCTGGTGCCCGGCCACGAATCTGTCGTGGACCCGCGTCAGCCTCTCCTGTGGCTGTTGCCACAGCGATGTCGCCGGCTCCCTACTGATGGTTACTTCTTGCCCAGCCGACTGAGGTTTTGCTGGGTTCAGCTGGGCTTGAGCTCGAATTCCCTGTATCTTCTCATGCTGGAAAGCGGGTCAAAGGGCCAAGAGACACTGTGCGCCTGCGGCCAGTGTCCCATCGCATGCGGCCATGCCTCGCGCACTTACACCCGCCGGCCAGCGCAGAGCCGAGCCGGAGCCAGTGACACGGGGACATCACTCCTCCCCAAAGATGCTTGAGTGAGTCACTTGATAATGAGAAAGCACGTGCAATTCCTTTACGGGAAGGGAGCCAAGGGGCACCTGGGTGACTCAGTGGGTGAAGCGTCCGACTCTTGATTTTGGCTCAGGTCACGATCTCCCAGTTCGTGGGTTCCAGGCCTGCGGGGGGCTCTGCGCTGACAGCTCGGAGCCTGCTTGGGGTTCTCTCTCTCTCTCTCTCTCTCTCTCTCTCTCTCTCTCCCCCTCTCTCTGCCCCTCCCCAGCTCCCTCCCTCTCAAAATAAATAAACACATTTAAAAAAAGGAGGGAGCCAATTGTGGCAAGCAGTAATCTAGTCTGAACAGTGACGGCAAACAAGCGTCTTCCCACTTCCCCCATTTTCCTCGTCCGGAATGGACGGGAATGAAGAGTCGTCCTTCCAACCATGTATCTGGGCCCCGTGGCCCAGCAGCTGATGCAAGATTCACCGTCCCAGCCTGCCCTACAGAAGGCCAGTCCCACTCTCTCAATACGGCGGGTGAGTGCTACAGATGTCTCCTTTCTGCCACGTGCTGGCCACCTCCGTGTCCTCCTCGCTGCTCCCTGGACCAGAGTGGGGGTCTCCTAGGAGAAGCGCAGACCCACCCCCCCCAGGAAAAGTCTTACCCCGATTTCGGAGCCCCCGTGACAAAGTTCTTCCCGCATTCCTCTCCCTGCTGGCGGTGCTCCCTCTCGCTCACCGCCTCCACATCAGACCTCGCCCCCGTTTACCGCATCAGAATCTTGGTGGGTTCAGATTTCATCATGGAACCGCATAGTTTATATGCGTATAATTCATACGAATGTACTTCTTGGTGTGTGTCTGCCAACGATGTTGTAGACATACAAGCGTGAAAGAGCTTAACGAATCATGTACAGCCTTAACCTGCAGAGGAGGGGAGAGAGATTTTTCTCCTGAAGGAATTGTGAAGGCACGCACCCCAGCACGGGCAAAGAGCACGTGTGCACACACACAACCTCACGCGCTGGGCCGAGAGGACGCCACGTTCCTCAACGAGGGTGGAGCCTTGGTCCTGGAACTCTACACACAGGCTTTCCTGAGCCAGCAAACAGAGTCGGGGCACACTGTCCCGTCTCTGGGATTCCAGGGGCCCTTCGGTCAGCCTCCGGCACTGCTCCTTCTTCCTCCACGTGGCTCCCCGCTGGCCACCCTGATCACCTGCTTCTCTTCTCACACCTCTTCCGACTCTACACTCAGACTTGGATGTCATCGCTCAATGGCGTCTTGCCATGTCCCCTAAGAGCTTTGCTCCCACACGTTGTTGGGTTCTTCTTAACCTTAGATACTCAAAGACTCAAGAGATGTTGGAAATTCAGATGGTTTCTTCTCCTCTAACCATAATCTGAATTCCACGCGGGCTCTGGGTGCCCAGGACTGGATCCCCTGCGTGCTCGAGGCAGAGATGACGCTGACTTGGGGAAGGGGAGGAACACCACCACAAGTGCCAGGCCAGGAGCTAGTGCCGAATGTCCCCCAACACCCAGAAGCTAGTTTGCATATGCCTCTTTCCTGTGTTTCACTCACAGACATCCCCCCCACCCAGGCAGTAGTTTCCTGTGATTCTGTTTTCTTCTGTTTCTGGTTCATTGACTGCTACACCCTGCAAGTTTAAATATGGGAGCTGGCACCTTACAAATAGCCTGACTCTGTACAAATCATCATCCACAATGGTTCTCCGATGCTGCAGGGGACCCGGGTGACAGCCCATTGGTCTCTGGCTTGGACATTCGTGCCCAGAGCGGCCACAGTGCAGGCTGTTGAGAAACGAGAGTGTGTGTGGAGAAGACGTGGGCCAGGAGACATGCTTCCCAGTGAGGAAAACCCGCCATTGAACTTCCGCGGGACTGTGGTCTGAGGAAGGCTCATCGGGGTCAGAAATTGCCTCTGGGAAAGTTCCCTTGAGATACCCCCTGTGCTCCAGAGGGAGGCCCTGGTGTGCACCCTCTTCAAGTCGTGGACAGTCAAGCAAATACAGAAAGGAGCACCTTTGCCCGTCTGGGCCCCCACAGGACAGGAAATAGAGGAGGGCCATCGGAGCACCCTGGTTCTTCTTCTATTTCTGTAAACGTGCTGCAGCGTGACTTCCGCAGCCCTCTGACAAGCTGCTGCTTCTCAACTCGGAGCTGGATTCTTCCTCCGATGAGAAAGCATCTCCAGTGACAGCCCCCGACCTGGTCCTCATGCTGCTGGGGCTCATGCTGTTGATGTGCGGTGAGTAGGGGGTCCGAGCAGGTGCGGGGCTCCGGCCCCAGTGCCTCCCGAGGCCTCTGCCTGCGCCCGCGGGTGTTGGGATCTCTGCCTCCAACCGGCAGCTCAGAGTCGGTCAGCAGGTGGTAAATACTGGAAAGGCAGGTGTTTGAAGGGCACGTTCATTTCGGTTTTTACCTCCTAGGAAGCGTTCGCTGGCTGTCTTTCCTTCCAGTGTGAATTCTGTCTGTCCTCGCTGTTGCTGATAGCTACGGGGATAATTCATACAACAAACTGGGCCTTCGTTCCTTGTCTTAAACACCTTTCCCTTTATCGTCTGTCCTTGGCCCCCTCATTCCTACCATCAAACCCTAGAATTTATCACCAACAACTGTTCGC